CATGGTTTTCTAACTTGGAACAGCTTACATTCTTCTTTAACATTACAGACAACATCTGCCTTTCTCAGGTCCTTGGGAAGCATTTGATAGGTGGATGAAAATGCCAAATCGAATCTAAACATCTGACTTACTGTGTGTGGCAAACCATGATTTTGTCAATGGTGCTCTAGATGTTTTGGTGTTTCAGCCAAGCTATCTATTACTGTTGACACTATTTTTGCTTTCTTTTGATACAGTCATTCTACTTCTGATGTTGAGACTCTAGAAAAAGTGCAGAGAAGAGCCACCAAGATAATTAGGGGACTGGAGACTAAAACTTATGAAGAACGGTTACAGGAACTGGGCATGACTAATCTAGTGAAGAAAAGGACCAGGAGAAACATGATAGCAGTGTTCCAATATTTGAGGGGGTGCCACAGAGAGAAGGGGATCAAGCTACTTTCCAAGGCACCTGAAGGCCAGACAAGGAATGGAATGGATTGAAACTGATCAAGGAGAGATTGAAATAAAGGAGAAATATTCTGACAGTGAGAACAATCAACCAATGGGACAGCTTGCCTTCAGAAGTTGTGGGAGCTTCATCACTTGAGACTTTCAAGAAGCGATTGGACTGTCATTTGTCAGAATGGTATAGGGTCTCCTGCTTTGACCCGGGGGGGGGGATTACTTACAAGGTTTCTTCCAACTCTGTTAATCTGTTCTATTTGCAGGTCTTTATATTTTGTGATTTTCTCAAATTCTTTCTCTTCTCTTCTGCTGTCTCCAGGTACTGTCATGTCCACTTTCCAGACTTTTTGTTTTTCTTATCATTGCTTGTTAAGTCTGAGATGTTAGCTGGCTAGTGCTTGTCTGTCTATTCTAAAGTCCCAGAACTCTTTAACTTCTTCATTTTCTATTACTTTGTCTATTTTGTGGTCCCAGCAGTTCTTGCTTACAGGCAAATGGTACTTCTTGCGAATATTCCAATGCGTCATTGTTGCTACTTTCTCATGCCATTGTTTGTATTCAGTCTGTGTGATCTTCTTGCAGCAGCTATCTAGGTGGTCCACTGTTTCTTCAGCTTCTTTGCAGAGGCAGCAAAGAAGTCTGCTGTTGACTTCTCTATTCTGGCTTTGTGTGCATTTGTTCTTAAGGCTTGGTTTTGTGCAATCAGAATTAACCCCTCTGTCTCTTTCTTCAGTTATCGTATTCTTAGCCATTACTGTACCAGGTCTTGTTATCCGCTTTGCCTGCCTTAAAAAAAAATGCACTGGCCATTGCCTTGCCATGTTTTTTTCCCTTATTCTTTATTTGATCTTTCTCGTAAGCCAGTTTAGTCTTTTCAGTACTTAATAAACCTTCGTGGTACATTAGCTTTAGTGCATCTTTTTCTCTGTGCTTCAGATATTCTCCCAATACATTTTTTTCTTCTTTAATTGTCTGGTATACTTGCAATATTCCACACCCACCTATTTTCCTTATTATTATGTGTGAGTAATCTACAGTTAGATTCACAATCTAAAACTGGAGGAAACAATAATTCAAGCCCTAATCAAGGACTAAACAATAGTTAAAGTAGTGTTTAAGAACACAGGCAGTTCCAAGTAGCATGGGTTGGTTTGGTTTTGTCTTTTTTGTAAAATTAGGTGTCAGGCTTGATAAATTCAATGTTTCCAGATATCAAGGACATCCTTTAGGTATATTATTACTATTCCGAGACTCATACAAGGGATGACCTACAGTACTTTCCCCAGTCATAAGGAACAACTGGTTTAAAATATTATAACGTTAGGCCTAAAACCAAGAACGATGCATAGTGATGCTTCCAAGCTGCGTTCTTTATCCTTTTCACACTTATAAACAAAATCCTGCCAGACTGAGGAATCTACTATCTGCATCTACAATATGTTCTGTAAACTATTAGAGAGGGGCTGTCTTCCTTGTCTTTCTCTCACATGTAGTAACATTCATATTGTGTTGCCTCATATTCTTCTGAAATATATTCGCTCCCTCCTGGGACTCCACCTCCTTACTACATTCCATCATATATGACAAGATAAAGGTAGCAGCTTTTCGTAGACTTTAAAATCCAGTCAAAGGTGTTCTGCTAGACGCTCTGTCATCTTGGTGCTGGCACATCATTCATTTCATTATGGGTTCTAATTTGGTTGGTATCACAACACTATTACATTTATCTCTATTTCAGCTTAGACTAATTTAATTGATAGAATTCTGTGTCCTTGCTATTACAAGAGACAATTAGCTCTCATTAGTTTACATTTCACTCATTTTCTACTGACTGATTGCACTACATACTGATACTTGCTAATATCAATATGTAATGCAATCAGCCTGAGGAAAATGTCGGTACAGAGTCTCTACAAACTATCACACTTATTCTGATTGTCTTCAAAGTACCAATATTTGCCTACAATTTAATAGTTTCATAATGCAATATTTGGTATTAAGAGTTATCATTTGAAGGTCACATCCTTCATCATAATTGCTCAAAGCAAGAACTAATGAAGATTGCAACATATTCACATGTTATATTTCCAGGATGACCTTCAAAGAAGAGGAAGTGTTTGACAGAAGACTTTTTGTTTCTCTCTTCCTCTTTCTTCCACTTTTCCTCCTGGATTCATCTTTCCTCCCCTTTCCTTTGTTCAGGTCCTACAGCCACCCAAATGGAGAGCTTTAGCTGAGCTGGAATAAGCAGCTGATGCTTTGTAGTCGAGGTGAAGAGGTCATGCAAGTTGTGCTACTGTTAATTTGCCCTCTAAGCCCTTCCAGCAGGGAGCCTATCGTGGCAAGAAACGGAGCAAGGAGATTTGCCTACCAGATTATTATATGAGAAATACTAAAGATTCAAAAGAAAAAAAGGGCAAGTAGGTTTTTTGTAACTCGTTTAGCATAATCCACTGAGCAGTCAAGGACACCCCTTAATAAATGCCCTGTAACTTTAGTCCAATCAAATGTACTTCTGTGTCCATGTTTCTTAATGTCTTGTTTTTGAGACAAATGTGTTGTTGCGTGACACCTTGGGCGCATTGTATTCTTTTTTCTCTGTCTGTCTTTCTCCCCAGGTGTGTATGTGGTGTTGTGTTTGCATGTCGTTGAAAGCTTCTCACACCGTATTAGAGATTATGTGGCGAATAATGACTGGAAAAATATACCTTTCTTTAATAAGCCATTTCATGATGGCAAATATCTTTCCCTCAATCTTCACAGTTGGTTTTGTGCAGGTATATAAAAGTAAAATACTTAGTCCCGAAGAAACCAGAAAGCATAAAATAAAGAGCTTTAGGCTGGAGAACTAAATACATGGTTTCAAACTAACATTTTTCCCCCTTAAGAGCAAGCAAAAATCAGGATGTTTGAATGCCACAGTTGCTAAAATAAATCTATGAATCAGGGCTTCCCTCAACTGGGCTAAGCCTTTAGGCAGAAACTAATTGCTGCAAACACTAATTTTCAGCTCCCTTTTGTCTCCTATAGCAGGCACCTCTGGATGCAGAAGGTACCCAATTAGCAGAATTCATGGGCCTGATTGTGTATTGTGGGGCAAGTGTGTGAATAGTATAAACACTGCTGATTACTATTCCACTGTAACACTGTAATGGCTGATTTTTTTTTTGTTGATTGCTTAATAAGGCCATCTATTCTACATCAGTCTCTGGCAAAGCTGCTGGGAAATCAGCTAGGTCACTTTTCCTGGTCATACTAGCAGAAGAAGCCTTGTGATGCTAACAGATGACTAAAGGCATAATTACAGGCTATTTAATCACATCTGTTTCCCCACTTAACATTGTTTGCTCAAGTTAGATGTAGTTTTAAAAAAATCAAAAGGACAATAATGGCATACAGACTAAAAAAATTACCATTGCATGGTTAAAACTCTAGGGCTTGTTATAATTACAGAAAACAGAGTTTACTGTGATTTTAAAAGGCATTAATTTATATTAGTGTGTTTCTATACACATATTGAGGATGACTGGTTGTTTGGAGACGAGGGAGAGGAGGAGTGTATTTCACTTGTACATGCACTCTTGTGGGTGAAATGAAGTTTTTAATAGTATTATTTAAATGGAAGTGCTGCTGAATATGTTTCATTTGGAAACTAAAATTAAATTCAAGTTCAAGATGACAGGTATTTTCATTAAGCATTCTGAGAAAAAGTATTCCTTTTTATATCACATCTAAAAAAATGAGGGTAGCCATATATTATTACATTATAAGGAGGGTCACCACTGGAAAAGCCATGCCTTTCTGTGGGGAGAGCGTCTGGAATAGAGCAACATTCAAGCCCCAGTCAGTAGGTAAGTAAAGAAATATATTAAATTCTATCTTCATTCTATCTCTCTCTCTCTTTCCCTCCCTCCCTCCCCCCCCTCTCTCTCCCTCCCTCCCTCAGTAACTTTAAGAACCCCCAATCAGCATGCTGGGACTTAAAGTCTACTCATTAAGTTGCTGAAGTTGAGAAGCAGTGAACTAAATGACATATAGGAGAGAAATCAAAATAAGCCATTCAATGAAATATTAGTTGCTGGTGTATTCTGCCTGCTGCCACAAATATTGTTTTTAAAATATTGTTTTTAAAAACATAGAAAAGATGGTATGTTTAATTTTATACAAACATCCAGGAAAATAAAGAAATATTTGTTTATAACAGACATTACTAGGTCTCTGTAGAAAATGCACTATAATGAAATGTGGACCAATGAGTCAGATACTTCATAAGGATATAATCTTATGGCACCAGAATTATTTTCAAAAGTGTCCTTGATAACTGCTGAGGGAGATGATAACTGCTGAGATATATAGACAGACAGCCTTCAAGTCAATTCCAAGTTAAACTAACTGTTTGCTTACTTGCTATTGGCTGCCATAGAAATGGGGAGGGTGGGGGCATGTTATTTGGGATGAGAATAAATGATACAGGAGGTGATATGGAAAAAGGAAGTATTCTTCTCACCATCTTCTGCACATGCTGGTGGCTGGTATTTAGACCTGATTAAGGCCAACCGTCTTGCATACCAACATGATGATGCCTTTTGGAGATACAATTAACATGACACCTAAGGGAGTTGCAGATTAGACACTGGGGTGGGGTTATTGGAGGGAGGGGGCTGGGTTATCATTTGATATGTACTTGTTCACGTCTTTCTGGCTCAGATCTTGCTTTACTTTCGTTGTTATCTTTTCATAACCAGTAAAAGTATTTTAATTCCATGAACAATGGAGTTGGGATTTTTCTTTCTTGGTTATTGATGGAGACACGCCTGACAAGTACATTCTCTGCTCTACTTCCTAGTATACTTTCCCCTGTAATGTCACCTCAAGCACTCTTAGGGCAAGACATCTTACCAATAAGGAGCATATTTGTAGCTCAGGGTTGAAATGATTCTTGGTCCTCTCTGAGCTTGCTTCTTTTCTTGCAGACATTTCATTACCCTAACTAGATAACAGCATCAGTGCTAGTAAGGAGTGCTAGGACTGATGATGATACCTAGTTAGGGTAATGAAACATCTGCAAGAAAACAAGCAAGCTCAGAGAGCACCAAGGATCTCTCAAGATATATTAGTTAGTTGTAGTTTAACTCCAGTAGTTGATTGGCTAGTTTGCAGAGGAAGCCTCACTCTTTCAATTGAGTCAGTGCTTACCATGCACTGTAATTGCTTCTACACCTCCCTTCACCAGCATTGTTCAAATGGCTCAGGGATTAAGACCTTTGCTCAGCATAGAAAAGGTGGTCAATTCAAAATCCAGCAAAAAAACGCCTTGAGGATTTTAGTTACATTTTGGGTTTTTAAATTATAATTAAACATTGGGGTCTTGGGTCTTTTTGTTTCCTTTATAGCTTTTTGATGTCTCTCTTGAATGGTATGTAGAAGTTGTTGGTCAGCCTAATCAAGTTACCACCAATATTGACAAGGCGAGGTACTATATATAAACAGAGAGCAAACCCCACTTCAGTGGTGTGATTCAACGGGTCTAACAACCGGTTTGCTGAGCACGCACTTTGTGTGCACTGAGCACACACACAGTGGGTTAAAACAAAGCTAAAAAACTTGCCTTCTACTGTGGCTGAGGCTGCCAAAACAGCTGAGACACAGCAATCAGCTCTGCCTTGCCTATCAGCTGGGCTAAAAAACAAGGAAATATAGGTGAGTATAGCCCAGGGGCAGGTGGGCAGGCTCACCTGAAGGTCAGAGCGAACCAGGTTTTTTATAAGTATAATCTTTATTGTCATTGTACTTAAATCCAACAAAATTGGTTTGCTCTCACCTGATCTTCGGAGCTACCGGTATGCCCCAAACCGGGCTGAACCGGTAGAATCCCACCCCTGCCCCACTTCCTTCTAACACTGATGATGTTACCTAGTTGAATAATGAAATTTCTGCAAGAAAACAACCAAGCTCAGAGAGCACCAAGGACTCCACAATGCAGCCCTGAGCTACAAGTATTCTTTTCTATTGGAACTAGTAGCTTTAAATTCCGTTTCCAAAATGCACTGTATAAGGAGTATAAACAATAGCATTTTTTCTTGGTATCTAAATGGAGAAATATGTGCAGGTTTTGGACAATAATATGGAAGTGGTTTGCTGTTATTTTCAGGAATACATTTTCAATTTAACAATCCAGTTAACAGTCCTAGCTTTCCCTATTAGCTTCCTATCTCTGTCTAATCAGACTTAACTTCCATGTCCTCACCTGAATGATGAATGAATGTTGTTTACTATTTTACTTTTATGTATTGTTTTGTGTTTATTGTCTTGTACCCTCCCTTCCCTATTTTATGTAAGCCGCCCTGAGTCCCCTCAGGGAAAAGGGCGGCCTATAAATTCTAATAAAATAAAATAAAATAAAATAAAAATTTTTTTTATAATTATATGTATTATGGCATAATTGTCTATGAATATGAACCCATGACTATTTACACCATTGCATTCAGGATTATAGCTTGCAGACTGTCTTCAAGGAATAGCTCATGTAAAGGTAATGCAATAATCTGAATGAGAGATAACCAAGGCATGCGTAATTGTGACCATGATCTCCCTATCCAAGAACAGACATCATTTGCACCCAGTAGAGATTTGTGCAAAGCCTCTTCATGCTACGGTGTTCATCTGCTCATCAAGAAGGGATTGAGAGTCCAAGAGACCCTAAATTGCATGCCAGTTTTGTTTGGGGAAGTGAACATTTGAAACGTCCTCAAGTCCATAGGAACATTGCTAGAGTGGAGTCTGAACCTGCTTTCTCCCCATCCAAATTCCTACAAGCTCCAGATATTAGGTAAGAACCTCGACAGAATTGCTTACTTGGCCCAGGTTAGAGAGGTGTAGCTGAGTATTATCGGTTATAATCCTTTACCAATAGATGACTTCACCCAGCAGCTTTATGGATATTAAATAGAAATGGAGAAAGTGTAGCGCACTAGCCATCCTCATACAGAAGGAATTTAGGACTGGGGATAGAGTTCTTTCCTCCACGCACAGCAATTGGAATCAGGCCTGAAGGAAGGAAGAGAACTACTGTAAAAGTGAGCCTCTCTTTCCCCCAATTCCATAAGCTTTTAGAAGATTATGGTGACAGATGGCATTGAAGACTGCTGATATATCAAGGACAGTCAAGATGGATGCATCACCCCCTCATCCTGCATCCACTAGAGAGCATCACCAAGTGCTTTAATCATACTTTCTTAGTAAATTTCCAGATGCTTTGCTCAGCTTTGCAAAAATGACAAAAAGAATTTAAAAAAGTAATTATGCAACTGTAGCTTATATATGGGGAAATGTTGACTCAATTATTCATGGAGATCCATTTTAAATTTCCTTTTACCAGGGTGTGACTTCAATTCTCAGCTCATTCTAAGTGGCAGAATTGGCCATTATGGCATACTTATTTAGCAATAAGAATGCCTCCTTTCATCCTGTGGACTACAACAATGATCTATAAAACAAATTAGTTCCCATTTAAATTTTACTTTATTCTTTTTGTGGTTTCTTCTTTTCTTTTATCTATTTATCTTTTATCTATTATCCACTGGTTTTGATATTTTATGATTTAGTTATTCAAATGCATTTTTAAATGTATTGTGAATGTTTTAATAACTTTTCCTGTACCCTGTAATCTGCTAAGAATTATTTAAAACAGGCAGCATAAAAATGTAATATGTAAGGATTAATTGCCTTGAATTTATTATACTTTTATTTTTAAATAGGACAATCTCAGGGCACCTGCACAAAGCATTACAATTGTGATTTCTTCCTGTCCTTGAGATAGAACACAAAAACTGCTGCCTACACAGCCTACCTTTATCAATCTTTGAGGTCAGCCTGATCAAGGTCAGTCCCCATTGCAATCCACACAAAGCAGCAATTCCCTCTACATTCCAGCATATACAGTCTCACTTCTCTACTCCCTCTTTGTGCAGGTAGGTCTTTGGGTAATGATCACAACCGGGGTCAGAATTTCCATTGCTAAGAAAGACATTTGTAAAGATAGTTGTGCCTGATTTTACAAGCATTTATGTCACTGTTTAAGTCAGGGGTGTCAAACTCACATTGTCATGCCAGCATCACGGGGTGTATCTGGACTTTTTTCTCCTTTACTAAATTAGGCGTGGGTGTGGCCAGCACGTGACATGTCTGGCCTGTGGGCTGGGAGTTTGACAGCTCTGGTTTAAGTGAATCACAAGGTCATTAGACGAATCTCACCCCATTGACTTTGCTTGTTGGAATGTTGCATATGGTGATCATATCTCTCCAGGATGCTGAAACCATAGTAAAAATATGCTGGTTGACAAGCACTCAAATTTTGCTCCCGTGACTATGAGGATGCTGTGATGGTTGTAAGTGCAAGGAGTAGTTGTAAGTTACTTTTTTCAGTGTTGTTGTAACTTTAACCAATCACTGAATAAATGGTTGTAAATCAAGGACTCCCTTTACTCTTCCAGGTAACAGAAGAAATACTTCATAGCCAGGACCAGTCAGAGGTGGTATTTACTGGTTCTCTGAACTACTCAAAATTTCCGCTACTGGTTCTCCAGAATTGGTCAGAACCTGTGAATACCACCTCTGCTGGGAAAGTTCTTTCTTCAGCAGCCAAAATATAAAGGCCATGGAGGCACAGAGCCCCATACCAACTCAGTTGAAGCTCCTCATGATTCCAACATTTGAAGATGACTCCTCCATGTTATCTAGTATATCTTAATGGAATATTTTCTTTCATTGTCCAAGTAAAAATGCTACTTTAAACCCAACACTTCTTAAACTATCTCATTCACTTGTTTTTTCGTTCATTCATTCACATTTATTATATTATATTACAAATTTATCTCTCAAAAAATCCCACAGACCAATGCAAGCAGTTTAAGACATATGTATGGCCTTCACACTGATTCAGCAGCAGCCTATCCAGAAGAAGAAGGCTCTGTTGTGAGGTTGTGTCCTCAACAAACAGTAAGGGAGAAAAAGTCAGGACAAGAAGTCTGTGGAAAGCATGAAAGAAATGAATGAAGGAAATTAATAAAAATTGAAATGTTTCAATTTACTATAAGGTGTGCTTTCAGATCTGTTTCCATTCAGAAGGAAATACAGTCAAGAAAATAATCAGTTCTCTAGAATATAGAAGGCTTAACCAGAACTAATTTAAACTTGCTTATAGAGCATCTAATCTATCACTGCAGAATTGTAGTTGATATTATTTAGACATGTGGCCTGGCTGTAAAAAAAAAAGGGGGGAGACACATATAAGTTTAGACTAGATCAATAGAACCATAACTTCCAACTCACAGGTCATAATAATTCCACTTCCATCTGTAGTGCTATCTTGTTAAAGAAAGAGTCAGATAAATGATGTAATGAATTATCCAGACAGGCGGTAAATTCCTGTTCATCAGAATTGTTCAAGCAAAGACTGGACAGTTATCTAGTGAGATGTTTTAATTTGTATTCCTGCACTGAATGGAGACTTGGACTCAAAACTCTATGTTTCTTATGCTATACAAAAAGAAGAGGTGATCATAAAAGCCTGAGACCTATTAAGTATAGAAAAATTGAAATGTATTTGGCAACCATGCAATTTGCAGAATGAAAGTGCCACAGATGAGGAAGGCAATATAAAGATAATTAATCTCTCATACTTCAGAAGCAAGAAGACCAGTCCCTGTCCTCCAACAACTCTATCTGCTAGGTTCAAAAAATATAACATAGGCAGAATTGCGCTTAGGAGAAAACGTTTTAAAAAAAGAAGGCCTGATATAAGGGGACAGAAAAGATGGATCATAAATAAACAAAGGAGGAAAAGGACAGGGATCTATAAATCAGATTTGGAAAAGGAGAGAGAATCAAAGTTTAAATCACAAAAGCACCCACAGCCCACTGTTGCAATAATACATTCATGTCTATAAATATCATTTTAGATGAATGGAAGATGACTAGAACAGGGTTAGCACACAGTGCCATTAATACATTGGATTTGCCCCAATAGCTTCAGCAAACATTCTCATCATTGACTGAACACAAAGCTATACCTTACTCAAAGCATTCTGCAGCAGTGAAAAAAAGCAGAAAATAACATGCATGTAAAAAGCTGTACCACACATGATGGTTGCCTAGATTTCTGAACTATGAAGCTTTCTGGAATTACAGAGCAGAGGGGTAAACTATTCTGTGGGACCACTGGTTTTTCAAACCAATATCAGTTCCTTCTAAGGGGTTTCTTTTCAAACACTATAATTTCCAAAGCCCTTTGAACTCCTAAAATACAACACAATGCAAACACAACATGCAAACAGGACGATAAATCACTTTTTTAATACTTAAAAAAATATAGAGAGAAATATAGAGCACCTGCAGAAATAAACCATAATTACAGTACCTAAATGTATAACATGAGAATAGGGCTGTGGAAGAGAAGACTGGTCTGAAGCATAGAGTTTAAGAGTTGTACCTAAATCAGTTTTACATAATTATTGTTGAACAGAATAACTATATAGGTGGCAGATGACGCCTACACAATTCTAAGCAAAGAATGAATAGTTTCTTTTATACTTAAAAAGAAGAAGAAAGAAAGAGGAAAAACACCACTAAGAAAATACAAAATCCATTAAAAGCATTCAAGTAGAAATTCACAACATGCTTCTATTTAGCTGGAACCGCTAAATAGCTTTCAAATAATATAGGACTCAAATTATAGGTGAGAAAACTTAAAATATTGACCCTGTTGAAGTTTATTTTATTTCCCAAGTATGTCTTGAAGGATCTGTATCAGGAAAATCCAAAATGTAGGCCATTCCTTTGACTAGGTTGGAATGGAATTTTGGTCCTCTATCACGATCAAGTAATTTACCTGCAAGGCATTGCCAGTAGAGACTCATGTCAGAGATGATTAAGAGGTAGAGATTATTAAAAACATACCAAGCCAGCATAAAATTGAAAAAACATGAGCGCATCCAAGGGAGGAACATAAGCCACTAATAAAGACAAAGCCTAAAAGAAAAGATTGAACTACGATATATAATTTAGGAATGATTATGTAATAAACTAGACAAGAAATGAAAAAAGACTCAGACAAATCCAATATCACACATAGTGGGTTCTATCTTTAATCCTTCTACAGTATATAGTTTCCATCTTTAACAGAATAAAACAATAAAAGAATAACAGAGTTGGAAGGGACCTTTGAGTTGTTCTAGTCCAATCCCCCGCTCAGGCAGGAAACCCTATACCATTTCAGACAAATGGTTGCTCAATCTCTTCTTTAAAACTTCCAGCATTGGAGCATTCACAACTTCTGGAGGCAAGTCATTCCATTGATTAATTGTACTAACTGTCATGAAATTTCTCCTTATTTTAGATTGGATCTCTCCTTGATTAGTTTCCATCCATTGCTTCTTGTCCTGCCTTCAGGTGCTTTGGAGAATAGATTGACTACCTCTTCTTGGTGGCAGCCCCTGAGATATCGGAACACTGTTATCATGTCATTTCTAGTCCTTCTTATCTGTTTTAGCATCCAGTACCCTAATTATCTTTGTTGCTCTTCTCTGTCTGGAGTCTCAACATCTTTTTTACATTGTGGCAACATTACATTGCATGTATACTCTATTTGTTAATGTTTGTCACCCACTCAGATTCACATTTGTGAAATGGGCAGCCGTATGGATTGATATTTACATGGAACAGGGACATGCAGTCACTAGAGGCAAGGGAGGCAGGGCCTCACCAGTCTCCTCAGGGAAAGGAAAGAATTTTAAATAATTTTTTAAAAATAATTAAAGCCAGGGTAGTTGCTACCAGATTTCAAGTCACAGTGGCTTGGTGTCTGCTCTCAGGTATTAATAGGAGGAGGCCAGAGAACTAGGGGCCTCTTTTGCATAAGGAATTTTTCGCCTTTTAAGAGTTAAGCAAGGGTTAACAAGCAAAGAATTCCTTATGCAAATGAGGCACGTATTCTCTCGCCTCCTGTAGAGGGCATTTTTAGAGGCTTTTTAGAGTTCTCTGGGAGCAACTAGCTCAGTCTGACAGAGCTCTGGCTTTTCAAGAGGGGAGGGCAGGGCAGGGCAGGGAGAAGCAGAGTAGAAATCGTCTCTGAAACAGCTGGAAAAGGTGCGTGTGGGGAGGGGGGAGGAATTCAAAAAGTTTGATTGGAAGGCAGCAGGGGAAGGGTGGGTATGGCAGAGGAGCTGCTTTCAAGCCTTTGGAAAATATATCCAATCCAACTTCTGTGTTTGTGTTTGAGAGTGAGTGAATGAGAGAGGGATCAAAGTTCTCTGTTTGCGTGTGTCTGTTTGAGAGGGGGGAGGGAGGGATAGAGGGAGGAAGGAGGGGGAGGGAGAAGAAAAAGAATGGGAAAACTTATTTTGCAAGGGGGGGAAATGCTGTCGCTTTAAATCGGAACTGAGCATGCCTGGCTGTGGAATTCTGGGAGTTGAAGTCCACAAGTCTAAAAAGTGCCTCAACAGGTCTAAAGCTGACCGCATATCACTGACATGGAGTAAATATACTCCATGTCCCATGAACCTACTGAGTAGATTTTGAGGACATAAAATGAGAATTAAGCAGGAAAAGCTCTCCCCATCTGGCTGGAATGGCTAATTAGCTATATAAACAATGAATGAATGAATGAATGAATGAATGAATGAATGAATGAATGAATGAATGAACTTACATACATACATACATACATAAATGTAGTGCAAGAGCTATAGAAGCACGCATTTCATTTTTGACTGGTGTGCTACCAAATTTCAAGTTGTACATCTTTGCTCTGCGTGCTGCACTATTAGGCTGGTTTTTAAGCAAAAGCAATTGCCAAGATTCCCTCAGTGACACCCATTTGGTTCAGCCCAATTGTGCCCATTGATATTATTACAACATTATTATTCTCTTTTCTCCCTCTACTGCATCATTAATGGCAAAGGATCCCTCTCCTGTTCCCATCATGCAAATTGTTAAAACTAGTGATAGGAAACAAGCCATAGTCAGTGCTTGTTAGGGGGTCAAGCTATAGTCCTGTGGAGGGGAGTGGGGAAAAGGTGAATTGCAGTGGGGCTAAAAACAGTGGTGAGCAATGCGGATGACTGAGTGAGACACTCAGGACCCAAACGAGGGAGGATCAGAATTTGACTAAGAAGTTGTGGAGTTCCCCCCACTTATGGAATACATTAGCCTAAGAGTCTTCACTGGGATCCTTGTGGATGATTTTCTAGTTGACATTTAATAAGCCGCCACATTTCAGCCCAGCTTCTTTAACAAAAATAGTGTTTATAAATTGTTATCAAAGAAACTATTATCCAATTTCCACTGAATTGGTCCGTCTGGTTCCTCTTATATTCCCAGTAGTCGCTCTGTAGTTTTATTTCATGTGCCTCCTCTCTCCTTTCAGTCTTCTTCATATTCCTACAACTAAAAGACAAAACGGAGCATGTTATTGAGACTTATCATGCTTGTTTTATAAGCAGATAACAGCAGAGGCAGAAGATAATAGATGCCTGGCTTATTCAGGCTTTCAATAAACATATTTAAATCCGAGTGACAGCTGTCTTCATCACATTAGCATTGCAAATCATGCCTATTTTTTAATGGCCTTCTATTGAACATGATTCAATTATGTGTGATCCGTAGCAAGGCAGGATATGGTCTTAATATCTACGGCTGTGTTTCCGCGAGCTGCTGCTCTTTACACTGCTTGCATTTAAGCTGTCTGTTTACAGCATTGCTTTCCTTGAACTAACTGAACTCGCTGCACTTTCCAGCTAAATAAAGGAAAATTAATATAATTTGTGAAGCAATTATATGTGTAGACATTGCATGCCTGACATTCTTTGCATAGCCATTCAGACAGAAAACACTTGTTAAACCAATTGACTGTTTCTAGACTAAAAACATTCACCATGTGAAACTGCTGAAGGGCTTTCCAGATGATTGAAAGGCCTGTATTTCATTCTTCTCCTTGTCCTGATCCAGAGCCCCTCACTGATATCACACCCAGATGTACAGTCAGTTCCCCTGCCTCTCAGTGGGTGCATGAGTGTGTATGTGTGTGAGAGAGGGAATAATACTGCAAGATAACTGGAGAGATAGAAGATGGGAACAAAGGGGAAAACAGATTTGCTGAAATTAGATCTACTTTGCTTGCTGTTTAAAAGGGGGGGGGGAATCCTAGTGCTGAATCAAACTTTTTGGCTGGTTTTGCTTTGCTGTTAAAAAAAAAGGTCAGGGGGGGATTGTTGGGAAACAGATATGGGGACAAGCCAATGTTTTCATAGGCCAAACAAAATTTTTTGTTTTTTTTTATCTTAATAAGAGTTCTAACCTCTTAATATTTCAGGACACTATGCCTCCTCCCAGTGTCATAGAAATGATATTTAATTCATCAGCATTACAGATTTAAAATAAATTGTTCATATTAAAAACGTTCATATTAAAAAAAAACATTATAGTAGCCATCTTTTTTACACCATATTCCCTCACAATCACCATATTCCCTCACAATACCTCTGAAGTATCATTATGCCCACAAGTATTATTTCTAAGGCATTAGGAGTGGAAATGGTTATGTACATTAATTTGTACCTCCTTTGCTTGAAATGAAAATTGGTTAATTTGTTACAGAAGAACTGTTCTACTTCCTTTTGAAATATTGTAAGTCTCTCTTGAGGGAGGGTGCCAAAAATTTTCAATATTTATTTTGATCACAGAGAACTGGGGGGAGGGAAAATAGCCTTCACAGTTAAGAGTGGACCTGAGGAACAGATTTGAACTTCAGAAATACAATTTATGAAATATAATTTGTTATGATTGCATGATCTATAATATACCAGCAGGAGAAAAAAAAAGCTTGATATACAAATGTGCCCTTAACTCATACCATCACCAATTAAAATTGTCTTTGTTTATTACAATTAATTTAAAATTAACTAAATGTTGGGCTGAGTAATTAAATCTATTCAAATTTTGATTTCAGTTGACAGGCACATCCATTCAATACATCTCAGAGTTTGCAACAGTGTTGCATACAAAATATTGAATTTTCAAAATACTATAATATTAACAGCATTTTCTTCTGTTTTTGTTTTTTTTTAATTTTCTACTCACTGGTTAACATTAGCCTCAGATTTGGTAGCTGAATTCCACAACGTCTACTCTCATTCACAAGGCACAATTCAGAGGTGGGTTGCTGCTGGTTTGATCCAGATCAGTGGAACCGGTAGTAATGGCGGCAGGAGGCTCCACCCACCCGGACACTTCTGCACATGTGCAGAAGTGTTGCGCATGCACACAAACGCACCCAGGAGCACATCCAAAATGGCAGTAAAAAAATTGGTAACCCACCTCTGGCACAATTGTGACCTTCATGCCAGAAGCTACATCAGTAATCTGAATGTGGGTTTTCATGCAGTGGAGTTAACCAAGTCATGACATTTCATATCCAAATTAAAATTAAATTCATCAGATTTCAAACTAGACAAGAAGTGCTAGTGCTAACATGTGTGCTTGATGAATATTAAAATACTGAATAATAAAAGGAAATACTTTGATTCCAAGCATATGACCACAATTGATGCAATAGCTTAAAGCAATTTTTAAATCGGATGAAGGGTGGGGTTAAGCATCCCACAACGACAGAAACGAGTGGACTTTTTAAAATATACTCCTACCTCAAATCCATTAAGCCAAACATAATTAATTCACTAAAAAAACATTAACTATTCGAATCTGATTGAGCTTTTCTATTTCTTTCTATCTTTCTTTTTTTTCAAACAGCTTGGTATTTCGAGCTGGGAAGGCTGTTAATTCCAACCTCATTGGCAGGTTTCCTTTTTCCAAGGTTTCTCAGTAAAAGGTAATTATAATAGCCTCAACCTCCTGACATACGCTAGGCAGCCTAGCTGGGAAACATATTTCCAGTTGAAAGAAACACAGAAGGAGGGACACAGATCTTGTGCCAGACCTGAAATAGCAATAGCGAATAGATTTATATACCGTTTCACAGTGCTTTCCAGCTCTCTCTATGCAGTTTACAGAGTCAGCATATTGCCCCTAACAATCTGGGTCCTCATTTTACCAACCTCGGAAGGATGGAAGGCTGAGTCAACCTTGAGGTGGTGAGAATCAAACTGCTGGCAGTGGCCAGAGTTAGCCTGCAGTATTGCATTCTAACCACTGCAAAGTGCAACAATTGGATATGTAGTTGCAACACAGAAGGATGATTTTAAAGAAATAAAAACTTTCTTTTTAAGCCAATGACACAAATCTGTAGGTATATTTAAAAAAACAAACAATTCATTGGGAAAGGGGAAATACAGGAAATATAAGAGACACTTAAAGAATTCCAGATAAAAATCAGTACTATCAATCTTGGGGAAAAATAATCATGTATTACTTGCTTTGGGATTTCAACACAGGATAGAAACATTCATTGCAGAGAATGGCTCAAGAAAAGTCATCTAGGGCAGTGTTTTTCAACCTTTTTTGTGCAAAGGCACACTTTTTTCATGAAAAAAATCACGAGGCACACCACCATTAGAAAATGTTAAAAAAATTTAACTCTGTGCCTATATTGACTATATATAAAGTAATTCTCCCACGGCACACCTTACACTATGTCACAGCACACTAGTGTGCCACGGCACAGTGGTTGAAAAACACTGATCTAGGGCTCCTACTTGAAAATGGGAGGCAGACTTTTTTTTTCTTTTCTTCCTCTTTCTCTTCCCCTTCTCTTTCTCCTGCTTCCTTCCTTGCAAATCAGAAAATGTTCTGGTGGCCAGACCATCTTCCTAACAATCCTATGGTTGTATGATAAAAGGGTTGAATTGGGCAAAAGATGAAAGCAAAAGAAGAAAAATAAAACAGCTTAAAAGTATAGTTAGCTTATCAGATGCATGGCAATTTAATAAGGTACCAGTCTAGAAACCAGGAGACCATGAGTTCTAATCCTGCCATAGGCACAGAGCCAGCTGGGTAACCTTGAGCCAGTGATTCTCGCTCAGCCCTACAAAGGAAGAAATGGCAAACCACTTTTGAAACCTTGGCCAAAAAAATCTGTGGGGACTGATCCAGGTAGTGATCAGGAGTCAACCCTGACTCAAAGAAAAAACATTGTTTATTAACTTTGGCTTCTGTGTTAAGGCAAACAAGGTCACAAAATAGCAATGAGGAATATTTTCCTTTATACACATTTGCCATCAATTCATACATGAAAACAATAATAATTTGCAAGTACTATTGACATATTAGAATCTGAAAACACTACATTTTAGAAGAATTCATTTTGCAAATGTTTGGAATACATTCACATGCTATATGAAGAATAGTAGAAAATAGAAAATATGTACAAGATAGATTAGCTGCATTTCCATAAGTATTTTAATAAAAACATGTCTCCTTATTAAAACATATCTATTTTGTTTTGTCTTGAGATACAAAGCCTCACAGCTGTGTTATGTGTTCATATTTAGGTAGGTAACTGATAGACAAATGACAATATATTGCCAATTTACTTGGTTTGCAAGGTTTCATTACCCTACTAGATAACATCATCAAAGCAAGTGAGTTTGGGGAAATAAGGTTTGTTGTTTGATTCAGAGTTACATTTTCATCTATCTGCCTGCTTTTCTTGTGCTTGGAGGGATGGTCCAATGGGTAGATCCTGTTTGACATTCAATTAATGTCTTGTGATTAATAGATTATTTATCTGGCCAAAGAGGGGAATATATTTTTTCCTGTGTGTTGACTGCCTCCTGTGTAATTGGTAGTGTCAATAGCTATTCTATATGCTAGGAAGGCTTCTTGAGAGGATAGTGTTCTTTTCCAGTAATCATTGTAGTTAAGTTTAATTATTACGCTGCTAAGAAAATGGCTCTAGTTGACCTATCTGAGGTTGATTGCTTTGTGATGAGAAAGAATGTTGTGTCTTTGGTTATGTCTTTGACAAGTTCACAATACGTCTTACATGTCTGTTGATCTTTGGGCAAAGAGACAGACTTCAAAAATTCTCTTCCATTTTTTGATCCAGCTCATTTTAAATTTTCCCAGCTGAAGTTACGCCAGGATTTATCTGTGTGAAGGAATATCAATGAAGTTTTTGACCGGTAGCTGGTGTTCATGGATATGTTCTACTACTGTAAAATTTTGCTGCTTATCCTATGTAATTGATTTTTATAGTCTTTGCATGTTCTTTTGTAACTGATTTCTGTCTTGTCTTCCTTTGGTATTGGGTCTTTGAATTTGCTTGGAACATTTCATAGGGGTTTCGAAAGTTTGTGTGCCACAAAGTAAACACAAACGATTCTTGAAAACTCTTGCAAGGCTCTGAAATAATCTCCGTATCTCTATATTACTGTGCCAAATTATTGCAATTGTTTTTGCATACCTAACAAGCAGGTAGAGCAGAAGTAAAATAAATAAGACTCTATCTGTATCTTCCTTCTCTTCAGAATATTAGTTGGGTGTTTTCACAGGGGCTGCCTTGTGAAAGGGAACAGGGTCCTGCTCCTGGTGCCTTTTAATAGGCATTTTTTTAGAATGCATCTTTCTCTCTCCTCTCCAACAGCTGCCACAGCAACATGCAACCATGGTTACAGTTACTGGGAAAAATGCTTTGTTGCAAAATTGCCAGCATGCTCTCTGTTCACAATCACAACTAGCAAAAAGTATTTTAAATGCAACAGATGAATCAGGTGGCTTTACAACTATTCTTCAAAACCAACTGCTCAGATATGATGATGATGATGATGATGATGATGATGATGATGATGATGATGATGATGATGATGATGTACCCAATCAGTTAAGTGTACACAGTAGGTTCTGGAAACATGAATGTGGAAACAGGAATTAATTATTTATTTTATTTGCTATGGATGGATTGGATAGGGAATGTGACTGCAGTAATTTGGCATGGGGGGAGCATTAATTGAATAACAGAGTGGAAAAGTACTGATTTTTTTTCTGGCATATTGCCTGCATTTCAGAATTCACAGAAGTGTAGACAATCGATCACCAGCTTCAAACTGGCCAGTGAAACGTAAAGGAATGAAAACTGTGTGATGCCAGAGTTCCCTAATTGACAGTGTAAACTTTTGCACATCTCTCAAAAGCAAGCTACACCATGTTACAAATGATTTCCAAGTAAGTTTATATATGCTTGTTTTCTAAATCATTACAAATTGAGCTACTTCTGCACTGTGATGTCTTGGCCTTTCTGTGCTCCTTATCCTGTTCAGAATAAGAGAGGTGTGTGTGTGTGTGTGTGTGTGTGTGTGTGTGTGTGTGTATGGCATTATTTTACTGATGGGTATCAGTAATTTTCAGTCCTCTCATTCCCTGTTATAGGAAATGATCTCATGAAATTTAGACACTAACTTAGATACAATCTAGTCCAATTTCCTTGTTCAATGCAGGGTTTTGCTGTGTAAGAAAGCTCCCATTCCAAGTCCACATGGCAACTTTTGGCTATTGTCTCTCGCTGTCTTTTCTTCAACCTAAGCTAGAATTTTTCAATCTTGGCAACTTGAAGAGGTGTGGACTTCAACTCCCAGAATTCTATAGCTAGCAAAGCAAAACTGACTATGGAATTCTGAGACTTATGTCCATACCTCTTCAAGTTTCCAAGGATGAGAAATACTGATGTAGACTAAGCATATCTAGCTCTTTTAATAATTTCTCCTGACCCTTCCTTATCATTATTGTCTCCTTACTACTAGTTGGGGCTCTGAAAGCTTCTGGGTCCTCTTGCCATTTCAAGATAAACCATCAAAGCACTGGCCAAGATGAGGAAATCCAAGAGATTTTCCTTTTAGGTTTCCTGGATAACCAAATTGAAAGACAACACAAGACTTTGTTTCTTTATATGACAAAAGAGAGAGAGAGACTTTTGTACGCACAGAAATGGAAGGACTTACAAATTCCCACAATGGAAGAGCAGATGGTGAAGTTAATGGAATTGGCTGAAATGGTGAAATTGACTATTTGATGCAAGAAAAGGCTTTGCTAAGCTTTGTTTCTACCTGGAGACTGCTTTTGGATTTTTTGCTTGAAATTGAAAGAAATGAAACTTTAATTTTGAGATGTGACAGAAGTGTTTATAATTATAGAAATAATGTGTGCTATTCTTAATCATAGAGTAAAAAGTAAACGTACTTTATATTTATCTCTGTACTGAAGAAAGCCAGAAGTTACTCTTTTCTTACTTTTTTCTTTCTTTTTCTTTTTTTTTGCATTCTTAACTTCGTCTTTTTTATGAGCTTTTCATTCTCTATTTTTTGTTTGCTTGTTTGTTTATGTTTTACTTCTTGTTGTAACTTCTTGTTGCAACTTCTAACTGTTTGTTAGAACCAGGTAGTACCAGGAAACTTTAGATATGTGAAGCTTCTACTCTGGCTGGGATGGACTTAGATATTGACCAGTAAAATGCTACCAATAAGATGCTTTTGCTACCCCTGCTTTTGCTTTGCTTTTTAAAACTGTATAAAAGCCAAATAAACTCTGCATAAGGCAGACAGACATTTTGGATACAACCTGCTGTGGTGGAGTTCTGAGACCTACAATGTATTAAGACTTTTAAAAAAAAATGAAGAACAGATGTTCACATAGGATAGCATCCCAAGAATGCAGCATCCCAAGATTACAGCATCCCAAGAATGAGTTGAAAAAGATCTTTGCCAAATTGAACAAAAGGTATATTCTAATTGAAATGTTCCCTTGCCAGAAACAAAGAAATGTTGTTTCAGAAATGGTATCGCTCTGAATACATGTAAGAAATAACTTTCAACTATTTCAATAAAATCTGAATAGTTCTAAATATTACTTTCATGATTGCAATTTTGCAATTCATTTAATTATAACACTAAATGTGAAGCATGGAAATATTTCTATGCACAACATAAGTATTGTGCTCATGAAAAAGGTAATCCAGAATGCACATCTTTTTTTCTCCCGTTAATAGAAAAATGTTCATTCACATATTTCATGCCATCATGGCATTCCAGGCTGTCTTCAACAGATCTGACAATTTCAAATCACTGCTACAACATCAATGCCATTTAGGAACACACTGTTGATGAATTGGGCTTCCTTTCCCTCCCCCCACCCCTGGATAGTACCAGGTAACTAAAACATTGCTGCAGACCATTACATGAAATTAAAATGATAGTTAGATCTAGCCACTATTAGTCATTGCTGTCCACCTATGAGGGGTAAGTCATCTAGGAGGCCTACCAGGGCTGCCATTATTCAAGAGTCTTTTAAACTGGTTTTGATTCTAGACTTCTCTATGATGAGTGATATTACATCTTAATACCCATTAAGCTGGAGTACAATCCATCAGCATTGATCAGGCTTCCCTCCAACATTATAATTTAGTCATATTCAACCATGTGCCCTCCAGAAGTAGTGTACCCATGTTTCCTCGAAAATAAGACCCAGTCTTTTTTTGTCACCAAAATAAGCACCAGGGGAGGTCTGATTTATTTTCGGGGAGATCTTATTATTTTCATGGCCGCAACAGAGCAGGAGGCAAGGGTGGGGTGGGGGTTGCAGGCTGTAGAGCGATGGTGGGGTGGTGGAGGAAGAAGCGATATACTGGTGCCATGGAGGACAAAGCGAGGCAGGAGGTGCGGATCTGCTCCACATGCCCTGCACTGGCTAACCAGAGGGCCCGGCAGCCAGGCCATCAATGTGCCAACAACTGCCTGGCCTCGGAGAAGTGGCTTCTGCTTCATTGAGATGGCAAGCAATGAGAAGAAGCTTCTCCACCACCACCTGCTCTGTTGTGGTGACGAGTAAGGAGAAGAAGCTTCTTCCTACTCCCCCACCTCATTTTGTCCACCTTCCCACTGGTTTGCTTAATGGCCACAGTGCGTGCACGCACATGCACACACACACACACACACCTCATGTCTGCAGCAACTAGACAGAATGGGCAGGCAGCCAACTACACAGGCTCTTAAGTCAGGCTTATTTTAGAGGTAGGGCTTATATTCGGCACAGGCATGAAAATCGGGCTAGCGCTTGTTTTCAGGGTAGGTTATATTTTGGGGGAATCATGTTATTAGTCCTTAGCCTTCTGCCAGTATAGAATCCAGAATATATTGAGGGGCTGAAGTTAAAATAGACTTGCATATATATATTGAACTTTCTGAAGTTTGATATCTCAACTGCTCAATTGATAGTCCTAGGAGAGCAAAGAGTACCAAGATCGAAGTGTGTACTGAAAATCTGTGCTTGGCTTTTCTTGATCGCTTCTTTGTAAACACTGAAGAAGGAGAAGAAAGCCGAGGTGGCACAGTGGTTAGGGTGCAGTACTGCAGGCCACTTCAGCTGACTGCTATCTGCAGTTCAGCGGTTCTAATCTCACCGGCTCAAGGTTGACTCAGCCTTCCATCCTTCCGAGGTGGGTGAAATGAGGACCCAGACTGTGGGGGCGATATGCTGACTCTGTAAACCGCTTAGAGAGGGCTGAAAGCCCTATGAAGCGGTATATAAGTCTAACTGCTATTGCTATTGCTAGAAACCATTTTTTCCAGCTGAATTTTTCTGAATAATCTATCCCTTCCTCAGAAACCTATTTATAAAACATAAGTTTCCATACAATTCCTACTAAGCAAAGCTGATGGCAGATACTAAAATATCCAATTAGAATAACCTTATGTATAGAGCAAGCTGCATTGTGCTCTTTAATGCAAGTCTCTTTGCATTATTTGTGTGTTGGGGAAGTAGTCCTATTTATAAGGTTCTGTACCTTGCTACCCTGCATGTGTTCATCACATTTCAAGAGCTGGCATAGATCATTTTTTTTCCCCACTGCAGAAAAAATGGCTGTGGAGAAGAGACAAGAAAACATGACAATTCTTCTTCTTTGCCAGAATGAGTTCAGAAAGGTTTTAGATATGGTAATCATCTTCTCTTGGGCCTAGTTAACAGGACAAGTAGACTTACTCCTGAAAAGCATCACAGATCAACTCTTTCAATTTAATATAAACTCCTTTGTATGGAATAAAGGATCACATTTGCCTGAATTGCTGTTCTATGGTTAATTTTTCTGTGAACAACCAGACCATAGCAGATATAATGGTATTTGTAAATTCAGTATGCCAGAAATATATAATGACTTATTTTCAAAATTAACAAACAAAACAAAGCATCCCAACAAAATTCAACAGCATTCAAAGATTAGCCACCTATAGCCATGTATAGCCAACTGGTTTTAAAACATCCATAGAATTTAATTGACAGGCCAGTTGACACTCCATTCAGTAGTTACATCTACACAGATGCCTGTTGATATACATCATTAGTTATGAAGGAGAATTATTGGAGTTCAATTATTATCATCACTGATAATATTTCAATGATTATGGTTGCAGGAATTGGGTATGTCTAGTTTAATGAAAAGAAGAACTAGGGGGTGACATGATAGCATGTTCCAATATCTCAGGGGCTGTCACAAAGAAGAAGACATCAACCTATTCGCCAAAGCACTTGAAGCCAGGACAAAAAGAATAGATGGGAACTAATCAAGGAGAGAACCAATCTTAGAACTAAAGAGAAATATACTGACAGAAAAATTAATCAGTGGAGCAACTTACCTCCAGAAGTTGTGGGTGCTCCAACACTGGAGGTTTTAAAAAAGAGATTAAACAACCAATTGTTGGAAATGGTATAAAGTTTCCTAATCAAGATGGAGGTTGAACTAAAAGACTTCCAACATATCTTCCAACTCTGTTATTCTATTATTTCTGTTATTTTTGTTATCTAAATTAATAGAAATGCAAAATGGTGGAGGGGAGAGAAATGATCATTATAGAAAGAAAAGCAAAGAAAACAGTTAAGTTTGTCTGTTCCAGAAAAATATCACCCCTAAAGGCCTCTTCTGATACATATGGCAAAAAAGGTTAAATTTGTAAAGAAAATTCAGGATGGATTCCTTTTTGTACAAAATGATCCATGCCAAGACTGGCAGGATTTGCTAGTGTCCATATGTCTCTGCTCAAAAATATACAAAATAACCTTTGTTCATTTGCAAAAGATGTGGCCAAAAACAGCATATGTTGGACAGTTGCATAAAAGACCTAAAAACAAAGAGCTTACAGCAGGCACATTTGCATACCAAAGAGTTATTGCCATCTCAATTAGTGTAAACAAAAGCTGCTTCTGTGGAAATTACCCTAAAAGCTATACAAGTAAGGGAAAGTTTTGTAAAAAGGCACTGTAAAGTCAAGAAGACTTAAAAATATAAATGGTTGCAGATTTTCCCAAGATTTGCTTTAGGCAATAAAATACATAGTTGGACAAAAACACTTTCTTCTGAATACAGATAGTAAAACAGAGCAGGTTTCTTTTTCACTGGTTTACATATTCCTGATACAGTCTTATGTATCTAAAGAGTAAGACTTGGGGACCAAATAAAAGTAGATCAAACTTTTGGGCACTAGGTTTTGGACAGAAATATCATCAGATGAGTTCCTGAAAAAATGCATTTCAGCAGTACAGATTTGGAAAGGTCACACAATGTCTAGGATATTATTATGAATCCCAAAGACAGGAGATTTTGATTTAAAGAGTTTGATTTAAAAAGGATGGGGGGAGGCAAATAATTGTTGTTTCAAGTGTTTAACTAGAGATATCTCAAAATTCCTATTTATTGACAGGCTTTCTGACAGATATCAAAAAGCAGTAGCAAAACAAGCTGGCAATGACAGTCATTCCATGAGGTAAGCTTTGGGCCTGGCAGGTGTTTTATCCAGGAGAAAGTATTTTGAGGCAAAAGGATCCCTTTTGATTAAAACATGACTTAAAGAATGGGACAATCCAGTGCCTGGATTCAAAAGCAGTTTAATAGTTTCATGCAACCTTACAATGGACTTAACTGTTCTAGGGTTGTGCTTAGGATGGATCAGAAGAAAGGAAACAATTGATGCCTCCAAACAGGGAAAATAATCCTGAAATTCTATACTACTTGCTTATTGTCACATGCTTAGCAAGCATCCTGGCACCTCTTGTGATACAGCCAATATTTGATTTATTGTTTATAGGGGGAGGAGAACACATTAAGCTGTCATCTTTTTTTCCCTCCCCATCCTCCCAGCCTTTAACATTTTTCATCTACTTCCAGAAATTATGATATTAACATCTACATAATAGTTGTAGATGTTAACATCATAGTAGTTTAAAGAGGAATCATAAAATTTTCATATGGTTGGAGCCTCATGGATATTACTTTTCCTTCTAGATCCCAGCTCC